ATATATAAGTATATAAGCATTAAGTGACAGTATTTTTGGATATATAAGATATAAGCATTAAGTGACAGTATTTTTGGATATATAAGATATAAGCATTAAGTGACAGTATTTTTGAAACTTTGATTAATAGAGTATTTCTTTCTGTAAAAGTGGTAAAATGAGATGTAGAATAGCAGGACAAAAAGATCAAAATAGCTATAATATAGCTATCTCCAAAATAGCTATCTTCCACTTGAAAGGTGATATGGCTTCAGAGAGCCAATAGGAGTACCACAGATATGATATTTGTTCTGTGACAGTTGCAGTGGTAGACTTTTAAACGATAAGGATATCCTCCTTAAGTATGACAAAACGATCATACTATTACATGAGAATAAATTCGATCAGGTCAGATATGATGATACATCTCCCTGAGCCTTTTTCAATAATCAATGGTGTAAAATAAGGTTGCATTCTTGCATCAACAATCTGCTTCAGCATAATTGTTCCGAATGCTACAATAATAGATCTTGATGAAGAAAATGGATTTACATTCGATATCATACCGATAAAAGTCTATTCAATCTAGGTTGACTGGAAACCCATATCAAGACTCTAAATTATCACGTCCAAAAGCTACATTTTGAAGACGATGTCATCCTTGTTGTTCAAACAGAAACAATTCTGCAGCATTCAACATCCTTTTTTGCAAATGCTGCCGAGTTTCCTCAGGCTAGAAGTCAGCTTACAAAAAAAAAAAGTTCTAAAGCAGCAGCTTGCAGTACAGGAAAATATCATCATCTCCGTATCGGCATAAACGAGACGAAGTCAGAGCTTAAGTCAACCAAACAGTTCAGCTTTCTGGGCGATATCATTTGTTCAGATGCCAAGGTCGCAAAAGAGATCAACAACATCAACTACATCTGAAATCATGTGCTTGAATCATGGATCATATACTGCTACCACTTTTGACTCCACAATTCTTAATATCCTTTGGTCTGTGACTAGTTGATTAATGTTATTGTTCTTGAACAGGCAACGATCACCACCAGTATTGAGATCATATTGAAGCGAATACAGATGCACTCGGTAGGGTACATCTCCATGATGAAGGGTCATCGCTTACCTAAGATTGTGCTGTATAATGATCTCACCATCGGCTTTCGCAAAAGAAGAGCTCAAAGAAGAAAAGGATGTCCTGAAACAGTACTTCACCCTTGACCATATAGCTATCATCTATGGTCCACTTTGGCCTCGAATAGGGAGAAATGGAGACATACCATCTCTAATGCTGCTGTTTCCTTTGAAAACATATGCAGAATCAGCTTTAACGAAAGACAAATCGTACCTCACTAATATCGCCTAAAAAGACTTTTCGCTGTATCTCTTGCAACCAGACTAGCCTATCCCATATTAGTCTTTTTAGCCATTAGCGTGCTTGTAGCAAGCTTGGACGTAATTCTCTACGTATCTTTATTTGCGTAGCCTAACCACGACAAGGCATGAAATTTTGGAATACCAAAAAATTCTCAAGTTTCTTGGAATTCCGAAAATTTTCATCTTAGTATCATCATTCTTGAAGACATCAAATATACAGGTTGGTAGCATTTTTGGAACTGTCATTAAAACAGTGTTATGTTCTGTGAAGTCATGACCTAAGATGTAGGGTTGACAAGTCAAAAAGATCACATTTGTATAAGTAATAAATTATTACAAGTAAATTACAGTACAAGATGAATGTGCTTCGGGTGCTAATGACTGTGATAAAAATGCTCGTTGTATTGATACGGATGATGGATACTTATGTGCTTGCCGAAATGGTTTTTTGGATCAAAGTTTGGACTTGGTTAATAAACCAGGACGTGTTTGTGTAACTGAAAGAGACGAATGTAAAGATGGTACACATAAATGCTCCCCGAATGCTATTTGTACGGATACGGTACAAGGATATATCTGTCGTTGCAAGCCAGGATTCATCGATTTCTCTCCAAATCCGCAAAGGTATATATGACATTTATTAATATTACCGGACATCGATCACTTATTGATGTCGAGGAAATTGCTATAACATCAAAAAGGATTTTTAATGTTTAAATATAACAATATTGGTTGATTTTAATAAGTTGATAACAGTTTGTCGCTTATAGTAACAAATACTTTTTAAAGCTTCGGTGGTATTGTTTGCAAAGAAGTGGTAAATGAATGCCAGAATCCTTCTCTTAATACTTGTCATAAGGATGCAATATGCATTGATACGGCTGATTCCTACAAATGCATCTGCAAAACAGGTTATACAGATTTGGATGAACTTCGGAATCCGGGACGAAATTGTCAAAAAGGTTATTTCTAGTAATACTACATTTCGAAAATATTTAAAATTGTTTAAATACTATTAATACGATTAATTTTTGCGGTCACTTTAGTTTCATAGTAATGATACATGCAGACAGGCTAATAGCTAATGGATAACTAAACCAATGTGTTTAGTTATTTTACTTCATTATTTCAAATAATCTTTTATATGTATAGAAAGGCAGAATGATCGATGTAGACAAGGAAATAATGATTGTGATCGAAATGCGCGATGTATTGAGCGGGATGGTAATGATTATGTTTGCGCTTGTTCATCAGGTTACCGTGATAAAAGTCCAGATCCAAATCGACCAGGAAGAGTGTGTATACCCTGTACGTTAATCAATCAAATATTCTTTGTTCTAAAAAAAATTCAAAAATCTTAATTTTTTGATTTATTGAATAAAAAAATTCAATTTGAAGTGTAACATTCTTTTTCAGTAATTCCTGAATGTGACAATCCAACATTGAACGATTGTGATTCACCGGATCGTGCTATCTGTACCGATACTGATGAAGGCTATTTATGTCGTTGTCGACAGGGTTTCCTGGATATCTCACCAAACATTACTTCCAAACCTGGCCGTCTTTGCAAACCATGTAAATTCAATTTATCTGTAATTTTTACAATTTAGGAATTACCCACTTGTTGGTAAGTTAATTTATTGAGTTCGTTTGTTAGCGATATACGTTTATTTGAGATTATAATATTGTTCTTACACAATATTACTAGTTAGCAACAGCAAAGAAAAAAAAAAAGGTATAAAATGGGAAAGCTAATCTGTTGAATTCGTTTTTTAGCAACATAGATTTATTCAGGATATAATATTGTTCTTGCATAATATTACTAGTTAACAATAAAAAGGGTGTCAAATATATGTATATGTATATATTACACCGTAAATTGATAAGCAGTGATAAATGAGTTATACAATAAGCAAGCAATGTGATTAATTAACAAATTCCTTGTCCTTGTCTTTGATAATAATTTGAGTGTTGATTAATTGATAAGTCGTTGAGTTGGAGATATACTACGGGGAATGTATTATTCAACGAATAGAAAGAATATCATAGTTTGTTGCCCAGTAGTGGCGAATATATGAAGATATCGTTGTTTGTGGTACAGTCGTGGAGGATATGCGAAGAGGATGTATTGTCTGTTTGATTGTAAAAACTAAACTGTTTCGGATTTTTCCTTTTATATATATAAGGATTAGGAAGAGTTCTGTAAGCTCCATCGGGGATATTATGGAGGTATGGCTGATCTTTGGCATTATCCATTGTATAGGTACAATGGAT